GGTTCTCTGATTGGACGAAAATATTTTTATTTTGGTTGTTTTGCTGTTGTACCAGGGAAAGAAGTTCGCTTCGCCCAGACTTGATAAAGAAGCCCCAAACTTAGGCGCTCTGAAAGCCAAATACGTAGCCAAAACTATCATTAGAGCGGTGGAAAAATTGAATAGCATTAGGGCTTTTTGAAGAAAGATAGATGTAATACTAAGTCGAACGAAGAATCCATTTACCACTACCACCAACTTTGGAAGCGTACCAGTAAGGATTGTTGCTTAGTGTGTGCACTGGGAGACAGGGAGTGCGGCCAGCGAAGCTTTGGGCCACATCTGACCAAGCTTTTATACATGATCAAAGGGTAACAAAACAGTATTTTGCAGCTTACAGACTCCGAAATGACGACGCGGGTCACTTAATTAAGCTCACAAATCTAAATCCCATTTAGTTAGAGCAAGGCACTCGGGTTTAAATATCGACACCGTCATGATTGGGCGACACTCGGGCTCCATGCGCTAAAACACATTTGAGAACGCTACAAAACCTGGCGACGATTCTCTCCTTTTCACATGATCTTACAGTAATGTCAAGTACTTTTAAAAAAAATGCAGCTCAAATTTTGACCGAATCATGCACAAGACCCATGTCAGCGATTTTTTTTTACAAATTGCTGAGACAGGGTGAATGGTATTCTGCACGGCATCCGGTCTGTGGAAAGGTACAGTAAAATGCTGTGAGATAGGACGACTCACCACGGATGCACGTTGTAGTGATCCCGACGACACAATGGACCGATTCACAAACACTCTCCCCTTAAGCAGCCCGTGAGCCGCCGAACTGTCGTTACTGCTATCAACCAGCCCCAGGGCGTCTACATCTGTGTAGTGATGGCAGCGGATCTTGTAACTCATCAACCAACACTGCACATGGGTTTTAGTGTAGCTGGATCTGCGAGATAGTTCGTTCTCTCGTCCAGCCAGGCCCGGGCAACTGACTAACGGTGGGATCGTCGGGTGATACATGATCTGTGCTGAATTCCTCATCTTGTGAACCGACGGTCTGATCTTGACCTTCCGGTAAATACCGAAGCACCACGAGGTGAAGTTTGAACGTCTTTGCGAGTTGGGGGATGGGGGGATTCTTTGCTCTGCTGTCGTATTTGTCCAGATTGCAAGCGATTCCTCGAGCTTGCGCCTGACGCACTGGAATTGGATCCACTCGAGTGGTTGCCTTGATTTGGGTGTGTTTGCATTTTAGGCAAGTTTGCTTATCGCTTCTAATAGCCGGTACTTGGGGGTCGTTGAGACTTGAATGATCTCCTAGTCAAGTAATAAGCTCCAGTCGATCTGGAATCTGCACTTGGAGATCACTTGGTGGTTCGATTCAGTGTATGTATCCACCAAATCTTATCTGAACCGCGATTTGCTTTCTTACAAATGATTTTTGCCTAATGTAAATTTACAGTATCCCTTTGACTGAAAATAATCTCATCTTGGCCGGGCAATGTTGCAGGATTTAGAAAATCGCAATATTTTGGTGAAAGCCCATTGTTAAAGATCTCGGACCTCCGCCTTGGAGTTGCTCAAATATGAATACACGGCCAGTTTACAGCGGTGAGATGAACATCAAATCAGGGGACGTTGAGGATTGTCTCAGTAGCTTGGTTGGTAACGCAACTATCACCAATCAAAATCGCAAGGCTTGATTCTGATAGGTGGAAAATATAGCTGGTTTTCTTGATAAAGTCGTAATGTGATTGGGCCGTTAGTTCACCTTCCTCCATTGGTGAAATGGCGAGCAGCACTTGCTTGAGCTGTCCCCTATGCCAGTACACACAGTGGAGAGCTACGTAGGTTTCTAGAAAACGCGAACCCGTCAAACATGAAATCATTTAAGCCAGACATATCTGCACTAATCTCGGCCTCGACAGCTGTCACTAGCAAAGACATGTAGCGCTTAAGTCTTTGACAGACGAGTTTTTGCTTGGACATGCTTCTCGTGAGTGGATCGTCAATCTCGCTCAAAGGCATGCTGCGGAAGACGATCCACTCAATCCACTGGTACATGTTAGACGCAGTTTGGTTGATAAACCCCAAAGTTGTGAGCGACCCCGCCCGTCTTCTGGTGGGATTCGTTGTCGGCAACGTAGCCAGGTTACTTGACCTTGAGATGGCTCGCCAGATTGGTGTAGCCTCTTGATGGGAGCTGTTGCGCTGTGTCACAGAGTAGTTGCATGTGTAGTAGCGATCCACAACGGCGACAAAGAAAAAGCGACAGAGGTTGCGGTTGTGCGCAGCGCTCATTCTTAAACGTTTTTGCAGTAAATAGAAGGATTGAAAGCGAGAGATGATGATCAGAAATTTGTGCAAAAATCAGTTAATAGGTGACTACCAGTCACGGAGTCTGGTCCGTACAACTACAGTTATTAGACCGTCGGTCGCTGACTGAACCGACAAATACTAGTATAGTAGTATATTGTGTTCGCGAGTTATAGAATTTCGCTGTCCTACTCTTCAATAGTTAATTATCCCATATAATAAATACAGGTACTATTGATATTGAATATTTTATCCGAGAGCTGCTTGGGAACTGAAAACGCTCTGAGTCGAGTTGCACATACCATTTGTAGCCTTACAAACTGTATACAACGCTCTGGAACACGGAGATGGACAAGGTACTGAGTACTGCTGACAAAAGAATCTAGTACGTCCAGCTGGTACCGCCTCCACCAGAATTTGGCCGTTTATATGTAGTTATCGTAGTTGCTTCTATCGTTTCACACTTTCGCCACCACCGCCACTGAAACCAAGCCTAAAAAAGCCGCCCAGACACCTTCACACCATCGGGATAAGAGACCAAGACCGCCGAGACAGTATTTCGCCTTGGCCATGAATCAATATGCACACTTAATAATTCTGATACTTAAAGCAAATCATCAGAAATTGGGGTGGCGGAAGGTTTTTACACCTGCTCGCTTTTTCACTCGATATGTCTTTTGTATTACCAAAGCGTCGATGTCATTGTGAAGAATCGACGCGTACGTTTTTCTAGTCGAGATACCAGCAGCGGAATGCGCAAAAAACAAATCATTCACACTGACATCACTAGTAGTACGACTACGTCCTGCTTCTTTTTGCCGATGTATTACGTGCACTCGTGGATCATCAGATTTTAAGTGGCCACGCGGTACCGTTCCTAGTGTATTCAATCTTTGGGATTCTTAATATCAACACGTAAGGTTTAATACGCATTGGACAACCAGTTTCCATTGATCGCCTATCTGGCCGCCGCCGATCTTCTTCATAACATTTCCGTGTGTTTTCGGCTTCCCCCACTGATCGCAAGCTGTAAACAACGCCACCTTCAGATTTTCGCTCTAGTTGTTTTTTGTTACATTAAATCCGTGACTCACTGTCCACGCATGTAAAGCAGCTTCTGTTTCTGCTTCTTCCAAAGGGTGGACACCTTCAATGGGAGGCTCAGTAGTAACTTGAACCGAGCTGAGCGCACTTGCACAACGTTCGTCTCTAAAGAATTGTCTAACCTTGCAATGCTCAGCACTTATCTCTGTGTTTCAAACATCAAAAGTCGGCAGACTTTCATTTGCAGAACCACGACAAATATCACCCATGGGTAGCTGTTCCGATTGACCGATGACGATACTATCGTCTGACAAACGAGTGTTACTGTCGCTAGTGACGTCAACAGCAAAGGTTTGTGCAGGAGGGAGGGATGGTTCCATAGTTATGACAACGAAGGTGATCTATGCCTTAGCTTGTGGTGACTCTCTGCCGGCAACTTAAAACTTCTTGTGATATTATCACCGCTCGCCTACACAATTAGAACAACATAACTTCCACCAGCCATAGTCTCAAACGCACTACCGGCAACAATGTCATAGACACTACCGCTTACGATGTCAAACACACTACCGGCCACGACGTCTAACGCACTACCAGCCACGGAGCCAAACTCACTGGCAGCAACAAACTTCCAGGTCTGAATGCACCCCCCCCCCCCTACGAAGCGTACGCATTCTTCTGCGCTGCCCATTTTGCGTTTTGCTCCAGGTAGAATAATAAATTCACTTGGTTTTTGCGTTTTAGTCTAGGCCAATTCTGTGTATCGTATTTTGGAAAGTGTCCGTCTACTGTTTGGCCTTTATTGGACCCGGTGCTTCAAACTTCGATGCTCCGTAGATTCTCCCGCATCACTCCTGTTGCCTGCAGATAATAGCAGATGCAATAATGACCCATAATTTTGCCAGAGCAATGGGCAATGTAGAATGTTTTGATATTGGTTATCCCTCCCCCCCCTCGCGCGCAAATGTTTTGGTTTTTGTATGCAAGTCCGACAGAGCAAAATATCCCACAAAATTCTTTGAAATCAGTGATTGCCTTCAGAGTTGCGACTCCCAATTGCTTGGCTGATTGAGCCTCTTTACATTTGGGAAATTCAGGACATCGTGTAATCTTACAAACTAATGGCTCCAATGTCCGATAAATTCTGGAGAATGACATTTCTCGAGCGAAGTGGCCATTTTACAGTACTGTACCCGCAATCAGTGTCAACTTAACAGTCGGTTGTCCATTGGCAGCTGATTCAGTTTACGGCGCCGCCCTAGGCACCCGCAGACCGTGTAATTAATCCCTTCGACCTCTTATAGTAATCTGCCTCCCCAAGCAACGCCTGATATATATTGGTTGCCAGAGTGTATCGTGTGATCCCGAGGGGCGTGCTTTTCGAGTTGTACTGATTTTAGCTGGGTATGTAGGTAATGTGTTGTACTTGCTTAACAATTCCACAGTTGTAACTCACGTCAAATTGACACGCTCAAAATTTCTACAATATCACATAGAATGGCATCACGCGGGAGAATCTACGGAGCATCGAACTTCGGAGCACCGGGTCCAATAAAGGCCAAACAGTAGACGGACACTTTCCAAAATACGATGCACAGAATTGGCCTAGACTAAAACGCAAAAACCAAGTGAATTTATTATTCTACCTGGAGCAAAACGCAAAATGGGCAGTGCAGAAGAATGCGTACGCTTCGTAGGGGGGGTGCATTCAGACCTGGAAGTTTGTTGCTGCCAGTGAGTTCGGTTCCGTAACTGGTAGTGCGTTAGACGGCGTGGCCGGCGGTGTGTTTGACATCGTAGCCGGCAGTGCGTTCGAGGCCGTGGCTGGCATCGGTAAACCCCATAAGTCCGTGGTGGGAGGAACGCGTCAAGAATACCATTATCTAGGTTATACTCAGTACCACATAACGTATTCGATGGAGGGAAATGGCGAGCTTGTGTAGCTATTGTTAGGGACACGTTTTCAATTTCAAATGATGATGGTTCCCGTCGCGTACTGCTGGCGCTGCATCCTGCTTGGTGCGATTTCTTTTTTGAGGCGGCGCCGTTGATTAGTCCAAGTGGTTGGCTCCAAGATTTCATCGATATCCACTATTGTACTCCTGCGTTCATACTAATGACGACCAGAACCGTGAGGTTCCCGCTGAATTGTGTAGTTGATTCATATATTCGAATCATGTCATGAATGCAAGGGCGGCCATAGCAGCGATGATATGTTCCAGAACATGGTTTAATTTCTTTTTGTTTTTATAGATATTTAATATAGTCGTGTATAATGGTGATGGCTTGCTTCCACCGTTTATGCGAGTTAGTGGGAGCGTGGGCAGTTATTTTTCTTACAACTCGCAAAAATTTGGATCGCTTAGTCTATAAGGAATTGTCTTCTCGTCACACTGAGAATCATAACTCACGACATTGACTCCAGATATCCATCGTGGTATCAATTTGTTGAAGATGGTCAATAAATCACCTTTTGAGGACAATAGTCACGACTGTATTTTTGCATGTGTTCCTTCTACTGTAGACGTATCAAGGCAATCAAATTGCAAATGTTTGTCAGTCCAACAGCGAACAATTTTTTTCTTTGTATTTCCACCATGTATTATCGAGATAGTCAATAAGAGACGAATGCATCCTTCGCAAAACACCTCTGCACTTTCAAAGTCTTGTTCGGTCTTAGCGTGCACTGCTGCATGATATTCCTAAAAAAAAAAGCATTGGTTCTATTAGTGTTCGTTTTCGTTTTACCATAAAAATCAATCTGTGCAAATCTCACTTCTACCAGGGCACTTCGTACCCTGGCCTCCACATTCCTATTTACGTGCCAGCGACAGCCAAGTTTGTCAGCAGAAGAAAAGTGCAGTCGATAGAGTTAATACAAGCCAAATCTCTGTCAGTGACGAGCAGACGAGGTAATATTATCTCACTGTCTGTTAGTAGCTTCTTTAGAGTTGAAAGCGCCCAAATGAAATTTGGTTGGCCTCCCTGGGCAACCAGCACTGTGCAACCGGAAGGATAGTGTTTAAGCAAGTAATTGCTATAATGTTACGTAGTGGGTTGTCGTACTTGTTGGTCTTGTATGTGCAGTCGAGAACCAAGATATCCAGATGATCACGGGCAAATTCCAAAGTATCTGGATGAACCCACGAACGATATAGTAATCTTTTATTAGGTTGGTTCTGTATCGTAATAGTAATGAAATTGGTCCTTGTTCAGCTCCAGAAAAAGCACTCCAACCGCATTTGTTGTCGAACGAACTGCAAGTAGTACTAGAGAATTGTTGTAGCGACCAATTGGTGCTTCTCTCTCTACATGTGGTGAATTTGTCAGACACAACAAATTATCGTCTAGGTAGTTTCATTCTAATGGATATTATTTTAGTATGGGATGTAGAGTTTCCATGGGCGACAACGCCAACTAAGAAAGTCGTCGACCAAATGGACATTAATGGTAGCCGCAATATAAAAGCAAATGTCAAGTTACCACTATTCGGTACCGCTCATTGTGCATATGTGAGGAAGAAGCAAAACGTATTAGATAGTTTCAGCTACAGTTCGAAAACGACTTTTACAACGAATAAAAGAGTCGTTCTGATTAAGTAGACTCGCGGCGACACGTAAGGTGATCAGAAGATCAACCCAATGCCCCCCCCCCCTTCATCACCAACGATGGCGGACGAAGATGACAACGACAGCCTTGCGAGTGACTTGCTCCTCAGTGGATCGGCACTGTCGCTTTAGTTAGAGCAAGTCAAGCGTCCCTTGTATGTATAGCAAGACTTCGTTGAGCGACAGACAGCTGTGTCCGACGATACAGCTGAGAGCAGCAAAACCGACGCGTCAGAGCACAGGTCCTGCTTCAACGCACTTGCTGATAAGGCACTACTTGGCAAAGTCCTCTCCACACTTCCGTTTGCAGCCGAGACAAATGCCGTAACGAGCATATGGGGAGCGAAAACGTGCCACCTAAAAAAAAGTATGACGGCAAACTTTAGTTATCGGTTCTGTCGAGACCGTACGTGCCTCCTCTTTCGCAAATATGCGGTTCAAACAAGACGCAATAGAGCTGAAGCGTCATTTCCGAAGTGCACACGGGTGAAGATTGGGTTCTTGAGCAGCTACAGCATCTCAAGAATGCTGCAGCGGTTGCATATCAGGCAAAGAAGGACAAGGCTGCGGGGAAAACGTAGGAGTTGGTATCGGCAGGCAAGAGGCTGATGCAAGCTGCGGAGGAAAGGTATATTGAGTTATTTAATTGTTATCATGGTCTAGTACATGATATGAAATGAATTCAGAGTTGCCGAAAGATCAGCTGCACATGAAACAGGAGAAAGATGGACGTCAAAGCGTCACCTCCTTCGAGCTTTTTTGGAATGTGAGTAAAAGGAGGCAGTTAAGCGCAGAAAATTAGAAGAACAAAGCGTTAAGCTACCTAGAGAAGAACTTCAGCTTTGCCGCGATGAATTAGAGCAGCAGCGGTTTCAACACGATTACTCGTGAACAGATGCAGCTATAAAAGGTAAACAACTGTGTTGTTTGAAAATGTCGCCCATATTGTTCAATTTTAGAACCATTTAGAACCAATAGGAACGGTTTCCAACCCAGAAAAGCGAGCCGTATACTACTCTAGTTGTAGCCCCCTAATACAATACAATACCATGTGATGATCTGGCGCAATCTCTGGTGATGTATTACTTTGGAGAATTCCCACAAAGCTATCTACAAGCAAGCGGGAAGATACTGAATTAGAAGGTTGTACTGATTGTCCACTGTTGTTCTCCGAGCTCGCAGAAGCACCTTACCCACTACAACTGTGCAACCTCCACCAATTCCAGCATCGCCCAGCTTCCCGGTATCACGAGGTACACCGTTGTCGGAACAGTATCGACCAGTGCCAGCATCACCTGATTACCTGGCTGTATGAGGGTCCGATGCCGCTGGAGTTTGGCAGCGTCGAGTAGAAGCTGATGCAGTATGTCAACGATGGATGTCTGAGTCTCGTACATTGCAGCAAGAATCGAAGTCCGAGCCACAGATCTCGCCACGCCAAAGTGCAGCACAGCAGCAACAAACACAATCTCCTGCATAATCTTCCCGTTCTCTGTCACGAAATCCTGAAAGACCACCTCACGCAGTAGGGGTATGTTTTAAGAAGAAGACACAGCCGACCGCGAAGCCTGCTGCCGAGTGCAGATACTGCCAAAATCGTATTAACACTGATGAACCCGGACGATTCACGGTTCCATATCTTGTTGGATGTCAGCAAGCGCCGCCCTTCGTAAAACAACAGTGGAACGAATATATGAAGGTGGAGGCATCGAAAAGGCAACAGCGACAGACAGCTAGTGCGACTCCGATAACGTTTGGCTGACCGCCAGTGAGTGCGGTGGTTGCACCAACAAGCTTTAATGAAGCGGCGGCACTTGGTGGAGGTGGTCGCCCTCAGATCACACAGATACAATTTGATTTGCCTTCGCACAAATAATTTTTGGCTGCGCGCTGTCGTTTGTGCTTGTGGAATCACCATTTTTCCAGCGGTTCCTTCACTTGTTAGCTCCTGGATTGGTAATTTCTTCTGCAGGACCAATGCTTCAGCGGATGCGCGATGAGCGCAGGCAGTACGTTATAGCGCTAATAAAATGACAGCGTGTGGTTTCTTTTGTCATTGATTTATGGAGCGATGCAACAATGCCAGTATTATAAACGTTATGGCCGTCGCTGCTTTGGCCGTCGCTTCCGTACAGCATACAGAGGAAAGAATTGGAGCGAGTCAAAAAATAAGTTCAAGAGGAAATGGGGGCTGTGGTTTCAAGTGTAATGACGGTCAATGCAAGTAATATGGTCAACTCATGGGGGAATTTTGAAAGCGAAGCTGACCATTTTTGCATGTGGCTGTGCTGCACATGACATTGACCGGTAATTCAGGATGTCTTGAAGATGCTGCCCTTTACCAAGATTCACAGCGAAGTGATGGTTATCGCAAAGTTTGCTCAAGATCATCACGCTCTATTGGATGAGCTCCGACAGCTTCAGACAACGGTAATTCAAGCTCATGACGCTTTAGTTGATCAGTATCACTCGCTACATCAGGCAACAACTCTAACGAGCTCTGACTTGCAACGTGTTCTTGTTATTCCGACTCAAACGCGTTGGTATACCGTACACGCTTGTCTTAGAAGCGTGCTGACATGGCTATCATGACGTGCCCGACAACACAGAGCTGCTGAAGCGTTTCCACGCTACAGCGGCCAACCGAGTATCTCTCGGTAAAGTTATAACTATTGTTTTCGGTCCAGATTATTGGTAATTACTAGAATACGTGATGAAGCTGATCGATCCCATTATCGAGGTACTACGAGAGTTGGAATCCGACAAGTGTCCATCGCCGAAAGTTTATGCATTGTTTCGGCGTTTAAAAGCATACTTCCTCCGCCCGAAATATAAACGGCTCTCTAAATGAAAGTTGTCCGGAAATATAAGCGTTAAGCTTGGTATAATGTTAATTTTCATGTTCAGCCGAACTTAAGAAATATTTGGCTTTGGCATACACTAGCGCGCTGCAAGGTAAGGAGCGAGGGAGCAAGGCATTTATCGTCTCTATCTGACTCTTGGTCAGATGGGGAATCTTGTACTTGTTGCTGCCGTTCATATCCATGAAAGCTTGTAGTACGGACTGCATCGTGACGAAAACTCTGTCAATAGTGAGAAGTCAAGCTGTTTAAAAGCGACGTCGACGTTGTTAACGAGGTCCTCAATCGTTTGGCTTTCTTTTTGTGCTGTAAGGACGGCAGAGAAGCAAACAAGCCGAGATCATTTGCGTTGTAATCGGGTGAATTAGCTGGTGGGGGCTAATGCTCATTCCCCATCCACACGCAACCAGCACCTCTGGGTCATCAGCAGCGACGTGCGGCTCTGCGTTGTGGTGCTGAAGTACGACGCGTTTTTCCGAAAGGCCACAACGATTTAATGCGCGGAATGCCCACAGCGCTCGGCGATACATGTCACGATCGACTGTAAATGTCTTCAACTCTAACGTACCAGTAGGGCGGTTCTTGCTCGAGCGCTCTCGTACTCAAATAAAAAATGACCATAAACCTATCTTTCCGTCCCAGACACGATGTCGATTAGTGTCCCGTCGTGGTCGCGCGACAGCAACAAGAAACATTACTTTGATGATGAAGTTCTTGTCTTTCACAGTAATATGAGGGACGTCTTCGTGCTCTCCGAGATATAGTTGCTGCTTCTCTTTGCACAGATAAACCACTTTCATCCAATTGCACATAGTCCATCATGCGGCCGAACAACAGCGTATTGCTTGAGCCTCGGTGCACGAACCCTTCAGTGAACTTGACTCGGTCGACATGCTGCTTCTCTGTTAGCATCGGCTTCACCCGTGTAGTGTGGCTGCGAAACACACCAGCGCGATAGCAGTCATGTAGGGTCGATTATGGAATACCTAGAATACTCGCTAAAGTGCGAATATCCGTGCGATCCTCTAAAACGTTAAGGTCGATGTGCCTGCTGAGGTCTTCGCGGAACGCTTCTGTCATGCGTGACTTCCGACCGCTCTTTCCATTCCTACTGCTGCCGTAGTTGATGGGGTTGCCTACTTTGATGTCCTGAACGGCTCGGCGCCACAAACGCGAGATCTGGTCGTCGCTACAGCCATTCTTGGCCGCGCAAGCTTGGATGGAGCCTCTTGATGGCTGTAGCGCGATGCTAACACTTAGTACGAATGCAGCGACAGCCGCACGATCAGTTGGAGTTAAGGTTTTGCGCGTCCGAGGTGTTGCGGCGGAGCGCGCGCTCATTTTGGTAGACTGGCGAAAGGTAAAAGTTGAAATCCGAGTAGTGCCAGTCTTTAGGGGGGGGCTGTGTCTTTTGATCCAGTTGTCGGATGGTCGCAGTAAGACCACGTGTCGAACCGCACGGGGCTGCTCTTGAATTTTAACTAATCAAAACGAGTAAAATTTGCACTTTGAGCTTAAGTTCGGATTCTCTGTCGAAACCCGCTTATATTTTCGGACGGAGGAAGTATTATTGCGGGTTAAGAAGCTATTTACCTACTAGGTGGGTGGAAAAATTGCGTACACTGACGACGGTAGTCAAACGTATAATCATCTGCCTTCATTTGACGTGCGTGTGCACGTTGTACACCGGCAGCGAGAAGCCCGCCGGGCTGCCAGCAAACTCAAGCGACTCTGATTCCAATGCAAGCAGATGCTGACGTATTAACAGCGCAAATATACGGAACTTTACTTACAAACGACTAGAATTTCCTGACAAAAATGCCAATGGACATAGCATGCTCACAAATTTAGTACCTGAACTGTTGGGTGCTAAGAAATTCCATAGTTCTTCCGAGGTGGATACAGCAAAGCGTATTTGTTATTTGATGTGGGCCCATCCTGAAACAACCAACCTAACCCAGCATTTCATGAAAAGCCTTGTGCTCAACTGCACATACAATAAAAACAAATATCGCCTGCCCCTACTCAATGCTATCATCATCACCGGGATGAACACGATACTTCCTTTCGCGCAAATATGATTGCCTGGTGAAGCGGAACCGTATTACACGTAGTTCTATCCAAGATGAAGGATATCATGATTTCCAACGCCATTCTCTACCACGTGTAATTCTCACTAATTGTCAACCAGCGTGCACCAATGCAACTGAGACAAATTTTCCCAAATTCAGCCAAGTTACTGTGTTTGTGGCGTATCAACCTGACCGTCCTTGCTCAAGCGCGGAAAAAATTGGTCGAATCGACGGACAAAACGCATCTGTGTGGTAAAAAAAGACACGCTAGAAAAAGAAATTTTCTTGGCGAAGTATTACGAGACGATCATTTCTGACACTGCGGAAGAATTTGAAATGAGAAGTGCTTTTTTACGAGTTTTGTCACGTTCCATGGGCAAGTTTCTGGACAACGAATGATGGCCTTATAAACGGAAAATCGTGAAATGCTGGACGAGTCAATACAGTCATTTTGGCCATCAAAGCACCTCAACAGTCGAGGGAGCGCATGCTTCTATGAAGCAATGGCTTAGTAACTCCCGAGGGGATTTGCTTAAAGTGTTTATGCAGCTTATCCCGTGGTGGACGAAACACCCTCCATATCGCACGACGTATCAATGGTATCCCAATGCTTTTTCGAGAGGATGATAGAACGCACAGGTTATAGCGATTGTACAGGTTCCAGCAACCAACAAAGATGTTGGTTAGGGGGCTGGTTTTGCCGGTTGGTGGAAATACGTTTGTGGGATGCGTATAAATCGCGATGAATCATGGACTGTTTCTGGTCCCGTATACCACAAATTACAAAATCACTCTCTTCGAAAGATCTCTATTATTATCGACCTTTTTGCGTGCTTTCCAGATGAGAATAGCACCGTGAAGACTACTGCTACACGTGGAAAGCGTGTTGATGACCCAGGTACCGTATTTGTCGGATCGAGTGAGACACAAATAATTGGTCCTAATCAAGTCAAAAATGAAACCTCGTTTAGGTTTTTCTATAAGCGCTCAAATGACTCCCGCCTCTTAGATTAAAACGCTCAGTATGCCACGCGGACCGAAGAATAAGAATAAGGAGAAGTACAAGGTATATCTCCTCCTCATCTTCTTAAATATACTATCTAACTCCTTGTTTCAGGGTGCTCTTGCTGCGCACTCAGCGGTAGAAGCCGCCGCTCTCTTTAGCGCCACGCGCGGAACTATTTACACGTGGCGCAAAGACACTACAAAGTTAAAGGAGGCTGCTGCAAAAGCGTCTAACAAGTTCTTTGCACCATCATCTCCAGGCAAAAAAAAACTATATTCGCCATCCTGAGCTCGAACAAAGGTACCATTTCATCAATTTTCAAATTCATATCTGTGGATGACACAATAATTGTAATATGTACTTTACTATGCGTTTAGTTTGCTTGACTGTATCATGTTAATGCGACAAACAAAGGGTTTATGCGTAACGACAAAGTGCATCATAATGATGAATGGCAAATTCGATGCAGTGTTCTTCTCATCAAGGACGCACTGTGCTCTCCTGTCGTGGACAGTTCGCTTTTTTAGCGGAAAAAGCTCGTTGTCCGCCGAATCACACACAAGCGAACGAAAAAAGGGGTAAACATGCAGGTATATTGTTATTATTGTTATTTTCAAATTTCGATTTGTTTTAAAGGTTATACTCATTTCATTGAAAATATTTGTACAATTTAGGAAATTGCTGACGTCTTTTCCCGGACAATAAACTGTAAAGTTGAGGACGGCGGTTTTTTTCTACCGCATACACTGAGATAGATCGGTATGGAAGCCTCTTCAATATGGACTAAACCGGAGTGTGCATCGACAATCCTGGCCGCGTAAAGGCCCTCGAGATGCCAATGGAAAATTTAGGACTTACTTGTTGCCACCTCCGGAAGATGCGGTTGTGCCTGAGTAACTTCAAATCACAGAACTTGTTTGGATTTCGATATATTATATTTTCGTTATTGTCGCATTTCATTAATTTAAAGAGTTTTGTAAGTGAATCAGAAGGGGTGTCACCCTTATGAATTTGATGTCTTACTTGATCCGTATGTCTCATTCGATCCGACAAATACGGTAGTGTACTTGGCAACAAGTTAGTTCACAGCATCGTACACTAACTGGGAGCGATATTTAATTCTACGTTAGTCTTGTTGTGCCTATCAACAGCTCTAAGCAGACAACGTACGATTCTACCTGCATCAGTTCGCTGACATTTCACCTAATTCTAGTCGCCTACAAATAAACGTTGCTAGCCGTGTTGTTGATTTTTCAACTCTCTTTTTTTGTAAGGTTGTAGCTTATAATTGTAAATGAACTGCTACATACAGTGGGTACAGAAAGTCTACGTCCAACGTCTCCTTGACCACGTTGGCCCACGGCGTTTGGTCCCTGACGGTATTTAAATTGGCTACTATGCATGATATGAATGCCTGATGTGAAAGCTTTCCAACAGACTATCATTTGACCAGATTGATAGAAGCTGCTAGAAGTTGTGCCCTGTAAAAAAAAAAAAGCAAAGTTATATGGCAAAAAAAGTGAACATCCATTTTTTTATTCTCAACTTTTAGAGCTGCTGATAACACTATTGCACTTCATGTTGTAGCAGTAACCATCCTAAGACTATCTAAAGTCTTCACGCACCTTTAGTACTTCGTGTGGCCACCTCGATTGTCTTTAACTTGAAGTAGGCGCTTCGGTATGGAGTGGTAGAGATCTTGAACGGTTTTCGGCTCGATATCATACCAAATCTCCTGAATTTTCTCTTTCAGATCGTCTACACTTGATGCAGGACGCTTGGACAGCTCTTGCTTCACGAGAGCCCAGAGATTCTCAATTGGGTTGAGATCTGGGCTCTGGGCTGGATGGGGTAGAAGCTCCACTTTTTTTTCTTTCAGGTAGTTTTTGACTAGACGAGCACGATAACCGGGAGCGCCATCCTGTACGAACTTGTAGTCGTCGCCAGTACCAAGCACAGAGACCGTCGCTTGCAGATTTTGCTCCAAAATGCTCTTGTAGGACGCACCACTAATATTTGAGTCACACATGTGAAGTGCACCCACACCCTCGTAGGTGATACATCCCCAAATCATCAAGGTCTCCTTCCCAGACTTAAATGCAGGTGCTAGACATTCGTTCTTGAACTCCTCCCCAACCTTACGCCAAACGAAAACCCTCCCCGCAGCCCCAGTGAACCAGACGGACGACTCATCACTGAACACTACCTTCTTCCAGTCATCGTCCCTAAACTTCAACATCTGTAGTGCATACGCATATCGCGCTTTGATGTTTTTCTTGCTCAAAAAGTTTTTTTTCGAGCTGCACGACCATTAAAGCCTTCATCTTTAATGCGGTTTCGCACTGTTTGCTTTGACAGAGCGATGCCGTGGTCCTTTTCGACCATACTGACCAGCTTTTCAGCGCTAAGGCGTCGATTTTTCTCCGCTTCCCTCACGATCTGGCGGTCCTGGCGGACAGTCGTCTTTCG